CAATACACTTTCATTGCTAGATGAACGTTAATTAACTTAAAATGTAATACATAGATGATATATCTTTAGATCAACCTAAAAAATGTTTGTTATATCATTCAAGAAAGCACATCTAAATTGTGTATGATAAGGGATTTTTTTGTCTTTACAGATAACACTTCCAACTCAGTCTTTGTCCAAAAATACATTACAATCATTGTTCAAATTTTGTTGTTCAAAACCCAAGACTAGATCCCATAAAGCACATTATTTATTCTATGTTGAGGAATTGCTGACATATCTGTCAACAATGATACAGCTCATCCATCACTTGTGTAATTTAATAAAATGATGCCTTTTCTTAAAGTTTGTGACATGGCATTCGTTCTTCCTGGACAATGCTCATTACACCTTCCTTGTTTTAGCCAGACCTCAATATTTCCTCACTGCCACATTATGAAACTCTGCCAAATAAATAGGAGAACTATCCCATCCATCACTGTTTAATTCCATGCCTTACAGAGAATAGCACTCGGCACGCACTACAATTCTAACAAGCCCTTGTAAACTTCAATAGGAAAGGGTTAGACTCTACGAGGAATTGGAAATAGAATCTGTCATCTTCTTCCCTTGTCAACCTACCTCCTTCCCCGTCCCCTAAGCCTTACATTGTCTTAAAACTCCTACATGTCTCTGAAATTCATGGAAGTCAGTTTTTTAACCCATTCATGTGTTTGACCCAAATGCCTACGGTCAGACTCATTTTTCACTGACAAAGAAGTGCAATTTGTAAAAAGCCATTTGTCTCTTTCCCACCATCTCTACCAGGATCCTGTCCTACAGACTCCTTCATGTATCTATGTTTGAGAACTGCATCTTGTTATGAAGGCACTTGTCACTTGACAAGCTATTCCCTACTAGCCTTAATATGTCTCTCACCCCCTCCATTGAGAGAATGGTAAATTCCGGCACCTGTTCACTAAATGATACTGTGTAGGCCAGTATGAAGTGTCAGATTAATTATGTGTGCGAAAACAGTGTGATACAAAACCCCGGGGGTTCTAAACACATCTCTACAAAAATAAATAGTAACCTTTATTATGATGCATTTCAAATGAATGAGTCATAAAAATGAAAGCAGTTTCTATATTACTTAATTTTAGTAGAGCAACTATCAAATGTTATTTTTTTTTTTTGTAATGCTAAATTAGTTTGCATTTTTACCATTTGCAAGCGAAATGGGGTATATATATATATATATATATATATATATATATATATATATAAATTCTTTCATCTCTATGCTTCCACATGTGCCTATCAGCAGAATATGCCATTGCATGTTCCTGTAATTGTTCCAGCCTGTACCTTCATCGTGGTACCAATCCACCAGCCTTTCTCTCTAGCTGCTTGTATTCTCATCACAGCTCTCCCCTAAAGCTGTATTACAGAGTAATACTGGCTTCAGGGAAAATGTTGAGTTATAATATACAGTCTAATATATAACAGGTTGCATTGCTGTATAGCTATTCTCACCAAGCTTGTCTGTTCCCCATTTCACAACATTGCATCAGCCTTTCTCTACTGTGATATCCACCCATCTTTCACTTTACCAATTTACCATAGTGCCTTCTGTATGCTGCTCCATATCTGCAGTATTATCTTGTATTGGTTCATAGCATCATCCTTTGCCTTTTCCATGACAGTAACAAAAGTAGTTTATTAAAACAAGAAAGGGTTAGAACAGCTGTCAGGTTTTTACTGCTCCCTGTGCCTCCCAGTCTCAGAACACCCTCATCCTTGTGGCATCATTAGGACAGGAATTAATAGTAAATCTTCCCATTGAAGACACTGGAATAACAAAAACTTAACTATTACCTATGAATTATAGAGTTTTGACTGGAGTTGTGCTTTAACCTGGTACAGCTGATACTTAATTCGAAGATTAGCAGTATGCTGAAGCGGTTTTGCAGATGGTGGTGGTTTTCTAAAGGGTGCCCTTTAAAAAGGGCAGGTTTGTTTCCATATTCCTCTCTCAGGGCTTAAGAAAAGCTATTAGTGTATAGCAGTGTTTGGCAATCCTTAACATTACCTTAGTACACTATGCTAAACTTTAGAAAGTACACATCATTTGGCAGTTGCAGCAAGACTTTAATTTTGTAAAAGTGTGTTTAACGAACACATCAAACAGTGTGTTTAGGATTTTTTCCATTTTATTTTGGTAGATCTTGATTAGTAATTATGTCAGTGGAGATAAGCCAGCAGACATCTGCTGACGATAATGCTGGAGTAGATTTACTTTTGCAGTTTTCAGAGAACTGCAGCTGACTTGTTTGCGTATAGATTTCTTGTTGAGTTGTGAGAAGAGGGCTACAACAGATTTCTTCTTTAGTTTCTGTCCCTATAGACAAGGGAATACCATAATATGTTCCACACAACTCATCTATCTTGCTAAATTAAAAAGTTTATCTAAAAACAAAACTTCTTTTAAGTTGTGGCCTTGAGTAATCAATTACTAAAACCCCTGTTGCCTTTTTTATTTGTCCCTTTGGGAACACTTCCCATCACTTCCTTTTCTGGAGACACGATAGGAACTGAGAGGAAATCTCCTGGGATTAAGCGAAGATAGCAGAGGATGGTTTGACTAGGAGGGGAGTAATCAAGTTCCATGTGATATAGGCTCTGGCTATTTCTTTCTATGCATCAGTCTAGAAATATATCATTTCTAACTCCACTTCTTATATTATTAATTTATGAGCAGAGTCAATAAAATGTTATAAACCTACTGCCTTTGACTGCTAGTCTTAGGAGATATGGAGTGCGATTTAGTGATGTCACCACTGTGCTGTTCTCAGAGGGGTTAAAATAGCACACAGTCTCTTAAGATATTTTAGAAGCGTCTATACTCAAAAGGCCCTAGAGCAGCTGGTTGCCTTGATCTGTGACACTAGACCAGATCTTCAGTAGACAGCCCCTCAGTCAGCTTTAGCAGAGCCCAGGTCTCAGCTTTCAGTCTACAACAGTAGATCCAGCAACATTGCCTGAAAGGGCAGCATGCCATTTCCAGGCTAGAACAATCCTATATAGGAAAGACCGGGAACTCAGTGTGCTCACTGAATATATACAGTTACCCAGCATGCCTTCAGAGCCTCTCTCTCTGGGATAGGATGAAGATGTATCAATATTTCATGCTACCATCTGCATAACATCACACACATCATCCAGAAATTTCTCAAGCTTTCTGGAGACAGAGGGAGCTATCAGGCTGACAGCAGCTGAACACACTGAGCAGACCTGACTAGCAGAACACAGCAACACTGATTACATTGTGCAAGTTATGCTTTTATCTAGCAATGATTTTACCCCACTGATTATAGTGTGTCAGTTAAATTTACCTATCAAAATACAACTAAAGCTTATCTACCTAAACAGAGCTCCCAAGCCTTGGCCCCGCCCCACACTCCCTCCTCAGTGGCTGTGATTGACAGCAGTGGGAGCCAATGGCGCCCACTGCTGTGTCCCAGCCAATGATGAGGGAGAGACTCAGGAGAGCCGCTTCTCTAGTGCACAGCACTGGATCATGATCAGGCTCAGGTAAGTATTAGGCCTCATGCACACAGGATGTTTAAAAATGCTCCTCTTGACAGCAGCGTTTTGGCAGAAAATAAACCTGACGCTTGTGAAAGTGTCTAATGCTTTTACAAGCATTTAGGTGGGTTTACAGGCATCAAGCGCTTGGACATTAATTAATTTCATTGGCCAGAATAATAATTTATTTTGGCCATTGAAATGAATTAATGCTCAAGCGCTAAACGCATCTAGCGTTAACCCACGTTTAGGCACAATTAGACACGTTTACACACATTTGCATACGTCAAGCATTTTTTCTGCCAAAACGCTACTGCTCCTGGATGCACTGGCGCTGGGGTTTTTTCCTGCTTGTAAGCAACCCTGCCATTAAACCCTTCTAAAAGTCTATGTGTGCATGGACACATAGGATGACATGGAGGGCTGTTTGGAAACCCTACAAAAAAACTCTTGATGCCTCTTAAAGTGGCTGTAAAATTGCCCTGTGTGCATGAGGCCTTTGGGGGGGGGGGGATGCTGAGGGGGTGAAGCTGCACACTGAAGGTTTTTACCTTCATGCATAGGATGCATGAACGTAGAAAAAGCTTCAGCATTTAGAACCACCTTAATACTCACTAAAGTTGTAATTACACTTTAATTTAAACTAAATTAACTTTCTAATTTCAGCAAAATTGCAGAGTTTCCCAGATAGCATTAGAATTCTGAATGCTTTCGCTTACTGCGCAGAGGTGATTGTAGCCGTATTCGTGCATTTGTGACAGAAACAATTGAGTGCTGTCCATGATACTTTTTTTATTTGCACTAACATACAGTTTTCAGGACAAGCTTTCGGGGTATGTCCCCTTCTTTAAGGTCCAAGCAGCACTACTTCACAAAGTTTAAGCAGAATGTTAAAAGAAATTATCTCTGAGTGATAAAAAAAAAAACTGAAAAAAAAAACACACACAAACAAATGTATGCAGCAATGGTTATAAAACCAGGATGAGACTACAGATAAGACAGAGCAAAAGCAAAGAGTGGGGGGATGGGACGACAGGTACAGTCACAGAAAACTGTTGGATAATGAGTGAGGAATCCCATGCCCAAATTAAGGCTGTTATCTTTTGTATCAAATAGAAATATAATTCTTAGTTCAAAAGTTTTCCTTTCCTGGATGCTCAGGAAAACTTTTTAAGCATTTAACAAACTGTGAAGCTACAAAGCTAGTTTGTCTTGCTATTGTCCGGCAAAACCCACAAATACAAATGGTAAATATTGTATGGTGAGTGGACCTCCCCAGGGTTGCATAATGTCACCCAATGGTCTATTTGTTTTTGTGTGCTTTTTTTTTTATTGTTACATGCAGGGGCGGACTGACCATTTGGAAACTCGGGCACTGCCTGAGGGCCCGGGGTCAGTAGGGGGCCCCATGAGATGCCCCTGGTACCTTTTTCATAGGCTTTTTTGAGTTTGGGCAAGGACACAGGGGCCCCATGATCCCCTATTGCCCGGGGGCCCCATGAGTTGTCAGTCTGCCCCTGGTTACATGCTATTATATAGCACTAACATTTGTATGCAGTACTTTACATATTGTATATTCACATTTGTCCCTGCCCTCAAGGAGCATACAACCTATGGTCGTCACCTCACATGCATACTAGGACCAATTTAGACAGAAGCCAAATAACCTATCAGTATGTCTTTGGAGTGTGACCCCTCCCCTGGAATGACAGCAGTCACTTTCTGTTTTTCCTCTGAGACCTGGAAAATATATAACCAGCATGGGAATCTTTCCTATTTAATAGCGTGCAGCAACAGCCCAAGAAGGGAGAGTCTTTTCTCCCGAAACGCGTTGGTTTGATGTACTTGTCGTTATTCTCAATAAATGCCTTAATTTACCATCAAACGTGCATTCTTTTGGACATCGGACGTTCCTTCTATCTTATTATTCCATTTGGAGTGTGGGAGGAAACCAGTGTAGCTGGAGGAAACCCATGCAAGCATACAGAGAACATGAAAACACCATCAGTGGCTAAATGGTTAGCACTTCCGCCTGGCAATACTAAGGTCACTGGTTCGAATCCCAGCCACGGCACCACCTGCCTGGAGTTTTCATGTTCTCCCTGTGCCTGTGTGGGTTTCCTCCAGGTACTCTGGTTTCCTCCCACACTCCAAAGACATGCAGGTAGGTTAATTGGATCCTGTCTAAATTGGCCCTAGTATATGTATGTATGAATGTGAGTTAGGGACCTTAGATTGTACACCCCTTGAGGGTTAGGGACTGCTGTGAATGTACAATATATATGTAAAGTGCTGTGTGTGTAAATTGATAGCGCTATATAAGTACCTGAAATAAATAAATAAATGCAGATAGTGTTGTGATTGGAATTTGCAGTGGGGATCCTAGTGTTGCAAGGAAGAATGCTAACCACTGAGCCTCCATGCTAAATAGACATTATATTTTTCTAGCAGCAAAAATTGACAATTCAGTAAATCACCTTAGGCCCTGCATTTTCTTGAAATGTTTTACTCTAATAGTGTATGTTGGTCTTAGTGAAAAATGCATTACAATTTGTCGGTTTGTAGGGTAGGTGAATCCTGCTCAGTGTAGGAGTCAGTTCTTAAATAAAATGGCTTCTTTCATTATTAGTCTAGGTTAGAATGATATTGAATCAGTTTGGTTATATGAATGACACATACCACCTTCCTGTATTCAAATTTCTATAAACAAAATCTGTTTTCTGAAATGGTTGCACAAGAGAAATAAACAAGAAGCATGTCCATAGACTCTGTAAACCAGGACATGGCTGGTTGAGCTACAAAGTAACAAATAATGTTAACAGAAAAAAAAGTTGGACCGTCAGAAACTACAAGAAGCTTATAAAACAGAGATTTATACAATTTAATATATCAGCGATTTAAAATGTCAGAATCAGACATTATTTTTCTGTTTATTGTTCCTCTACTTACCGTATATTTTTTAGCTGCTTTATATCGCAGTGAACTCGACCTCAATTCTTACATGATATTCCTGTCCGTGGGGCTCAAAGGAAAATCAGGATTTTATATGGCAATACTGTCAGCATTTTTCTTTCTACAAACCAATAACCCGCTTTCCTCCACTGCATATAATCACTGCTCTACCACTTCTTGTATTAGCTGGGTATCATGAAGTTGACATTGTTGATCATCTACACAACTAACATTCTCTAAATAAGATGGTGCTGGAAGAAATATACAGAACATTTTTTCACTAAATCGTAGTTTACTACTATATATATAAGACAGCTGTTATAAAATTCTTATGTTCGAAAAAAACATCAGATTGTTGGTTTCTGGTACTGGTATCACTGTAGGATCATTAGTGATTAGTCTACTGTATGGTGCAGAGGGTCCCAATGCATAGGAGGTAAATACTCAAATAAGCTCTCTACACTAAACAATTTTCACCAGGTTACATAGGACATGTGTCCTGATTTCATCTCATGGTTCTCTTATTTTCAGCAATGGCCATGAATCTTGTTTCAAACTTTTCAGGCATTTCAAACTTTCTCAGGCGATGATGACCTGTCACTGGTCCTCCTTCTCCTTGCACAGGGTGTTCGCCTAATGAGACTCTCCTACCACAGTGTACTGCCCATATCTTATCCAACCTGCTGCTGAGATCCACCTGCTATCTCTAGATAGCTAATGTACAGGGAAATACAATCATGGAAGATGTATTCTCCCAAGATGTTCCACAAAGGGAGATCCTAACCCTTGACACAGGACTATTTACAGGCTCTGTACAAGTCTTTGATTATGTCATTAGTGATTTTTATAGGTAATAACTTGCTCTTCATACATTTTTAATCCTACCCCAGTTAGTTTTTTTTTACTGGTTGCAGTAGAGGAACAAGAAGATTAGAAAGTACTTGTGCTTAGATTTCAAGATGAAAATCAGCATGGAACATAATGTCAACCTCTACTTCTAAAAGAATGAATTGTACTTCCTTTATAATGCAACACTAGAATGGACACAGTTATGTTATTGTGACAAACATGCTGATGTAATTTTACCACCGTCACAACCATTAGACAGTATATATATACACTATATTGTCAAAAGTATTTGGACACCCCTTCAAATCATTGGATTCAGGTGTTCCAATCACCTCCATGGTCACAGGTGTATAACATCAAACACCTAAGCATGCAGACTGCTTCTGCAAACATTTGTGAAAGAATGGATCACTCTCAGGAGCTCAGTGAATTAAGACGTGGTACCGTGATAGGTTGCCACCTGTGCAATAAGTCCATCCATGAAATTTCCTTGCTACTAAATATTCCACAGTCAACTGTTAGTGGTATTATAGCAAAGTGAAAGCAACTGGGAACAACAGCAACTCAGCCACGAAGTGGTAGGCCATGTAAAATAACAGAGTGAGGGCAGCACATGCTGAAGAGCATAGTGCACTGACATCACCAACTGTCTGCATGCTGAAGAGCACAGTGCACAGAAGTTGCCAACTGTCTGCAGAGTCAATAGCTAAAGACCTCAAAACCTCATGTGTCCTTCAGATTAGCACAAGAGTGCATGGAGAGCTTCATGGAATGGGTTTCCATGGCCGAACAGCTGCATCCAACCCTTACATCTCCAAGTGCAATGCAAAGCGTTGGATGCAGTGGTTAAAGCATGCCGCCACTGGACTCTAGAGCAGTGGAGATGTGTTCTTTGGAGTGACAAATCATGTTTCTCTGTCTAGCAATCTGATGGACATGTTTGGGTTTGGTGGTTGCCAGGAGAACGGTACTTGCTTGACTGCATTGTGCCATGTGTAAAGTTTGGTGGAGTGGGGATTATGGTGTGGGTTTGTTTTTCAGAGCTTAGGCTTGGCCCCTTAGTTCCAGTGAAGGGAACTCTTAAGCCATCAGCATACCAAGACATTTTGGACAATTTCATGCTCCCAACTTTGTGGAAACAGTTTGGTCATGGCCCCTTCCTGTTCCAACATGACTGCGCATCAGTGCACAAAGCAAGGTCCATAAAGACATGAATGAGCAAGTTTGTGATGGAGAAACTTGACTGGTCTTCATAGAGTCCTGATCTCAACCCGATAAAACACCTTTGGGGTGAATTAGAGCGGAGACTGCGAGCCAGGCCTTCTCATATGACACCAGTGCCTGATCTCACAAATGTGCTTCTGGAAGGCAGGCGTCTCAACACTTTTGGCAAAATAGTGTATTTATACTTTTTTCATGCTCCCTGATAGCATCAGATAGACCTTTCAGATACCTTTTATCTTTTGGTATGGGCAATTTGACCATTTAGAAACTCAGTTGGAAGGGATGAATAAAACTCTGTGATGAATTTGTGAGCTACTCGTTAGTGTTTGTTTATTAACTATCAGAGTAGAATAGTGTATGTATGCATCTACTGACTTTGTAATACACATGCAGGGAATGATTAAGGGAAATTGTTCATTAATATCTTGCTGTGTGTGAACACAATCGGTGATAAAGAACTGTGAATGTGATTGCTTTGCAGCCAACTGGTTGTATTATTCAAATGAAAAGTCAATGACCGTTATCCCAGTGTATGGGCACTTTTACTGGTACAGAAGGCAGAGCTGTAAACTGGAAATACTCCATCTCTTTTCCCCTAATTTAGACTTCAGTCAGGAACTGTAACTGGAAAAAGACAAAAGAGAGCAAATATGAATATTACCTTCATTTCATGGTCACCTACTACACAAATATGAAGAGAAAGAAATTTGTCTAATGTGGCCAGGAAAATAAAAAGTCAGATAAGGGGGATGCAGTGAAATGTGATATTTCCTTTCCAATCTTCTTAAAGATTTGTTCTAGGTATGTATGTTACCTGCTTACTGCAGGTTACATAGCTACATAGTTAGTCTGACGGAAAAAAAGACAAAAGTCCATCCAGTCCAACCATAAAAAAAAAAAAATTATAATCCTACACCCACAGTTGATCCAGAGGAAGGCAAAATAACCCAGCAAAGCATGATCCAATTTGCTCCTGCAGGGGAAAAAAAATCCCTTCCTGATCCCCCAAGAGGCAATCGGATATTCCCTGGATCATCTATACCTATAAATGTTAGTATTCAATTATATTCTGTGTATCCAAAAAAGAATCCAGGCCTTTTATAAAGCAATCCACTGAGCTGGCCAGAACCAACTCTTAAGGGAGTCTATTTCACATTTACACAGCTCTCACTGTGAAGAAACCTTTCCATGATTAGAGATTACATTTCTTTTCCTCCAGATGTAAAGAGTGCCCCCTTGTCCTCTGTGATGACCTTAGGGTGAATAGCTCTACGCCGAGTTCACTATATGAACCACTGATGTATTTATACATGATGATCATATCCCCCCTTAATCTCCTCTTCTCAAGAGAGAATAAAACTCAGTTCCTCTAATCTTTCCTCATAGCTGATCTCCTCATGCCTCTTATCAGTTTGGTTGCCCTTCTCTGTACTTTCTCCAGTTCTCCAATGTTCTTTTTGTGAATTGCTGCCCAAAACTGAACTGCATATTCCAG